CTTGCTAAAAAGTAAACGCTCATCGCTTGAACCATGGTTGTTATGCGTGATTTTCTTAGGTTCGGAGAGGGAGAGAGGAGGGGGAAGAGGGGACTGTGTCCACCAACCTGTTAGCTAATATTTCTCACCTTTACTATTTCAGTGTGAGAAGCCTAGAGCATATCAATTGGAATTGGACTTACCCTACCCCGTGGAGTCGGAAAAGGGGAATGCGAAATTCAACAAATCTACACATAAACTTCTTCTAACCCTTCCTGTAATTCCGCCACCGACTATCAATTTGGTGATGCCTGAGTTAAAGGCAAAAACAGAAAACAAGACACCCGGTGAAAATTCTGCATCCTTAATTGAGGTTCTTCAGCCCCCAGCCGAACAGCTGAATGGAGATGACCGTGCTACTCCTGAGATTGATGATATTTTGGGTATTAGTAAAAAGCGTAGAAGGAAGAAACGCGGGAAACATCTCGATTCCGTCAGCGAATCCGATCCAGGTGTAGGTTCCACTACTGGAGTCTCAGCGCAATCTACTGAGACCATGCATAAAATCAAGTTGCGTCGACTACCATCGGCCCAGCTAGTTGTCCCCAAGACATCGTAAGCCTTACTGGGATTCCTTCTTCCTCCTTTGTTTGAACTTGGGACCGAAATGGGTTGATTGTAGATCGTTGGCTTCGGTACGAGTTCGACAGGACTTGGCTTCCTTCACAGTGGTTGTAGAAGTACGCAATGCACTTCCCAAATCGCTGCAGCTAGCGTGGTCGGCCGGCGAGGACGCGCTGCGGCTCATGCTGACTTGCTCAAGTCGTGGCACGGGTAGTTGCACCCTCCAATGGGGAATTGTACTGCACTGCCCGGCGCCCACTCTCTCCCTCCACGAGAAACAGTCAGACAGTGGCGAGGACGGTAATGGTAACATCGATGGTGAGCAACCACGGGTGATTTGCTGCGATGTCTCTGCTAGTAATGTGGCAATTATCGTGCAGAAGCCGTCGCTCTTGCGTAGCTGGTGGAGATCGATCGCTGTTGGTAGAGCTCTTGGACCTGGGCTCCAGGTAGGATTGATTTTGAAATTGTGAAGGAAAAGTGAAACCTTTACTCCTCCTCCATGCAGAGTATTTCTGACTGCTAGGCTTTTTGCATTTTAAGGAAGAAGATTGTGATACCCACTGTATATCAGAATCCTATAAAGGCCTTAATGAGAGTGTTCGCAGCCTTTGGTGCAGATTTTAATTGTAGCGGTTGCGTTGACTTTATTGGTTTCATTGGTGGCGTTCTAGTTAACCCAACGTTATCTTACCTCACTGCATTGTGGAGTTGAGTCTGAACACGTATAATGGTATACTATTTTTTTGCAAGATGGTCTCGTTATATCCTTACTGCTCTCTCACTTTAGGGATTGTATGGGTGTTGAACCATAATGTAAGCAGTTTAAAGGCCATTGAAGTTGACAGCTAGAGAAACTATTGTTGAGATGCACAAAACACTGGTCGTTTATATTTCTCATCTACGTAATTGCATTAAATACCGTATTCGTTTATGTTAATAGTTCTTTTTTATTATCGAACTGAGTGTTTCTTAGGAAATGCCCGTTGCGGGAGGTTCATCAGTTCTGACGGATCTACCTGCATCTCCTCCGCATGTCAGCTGTCAAATGTCGAGCGTCAGTCTAACCGTCCAATCCCCAGACTGTATTCAGTTCTCGTTTCACGAAGACCCTCAAAATCGGGCGCAGATGACAACTGTAGCTCATAACTCCGCAGCTCCTTCCTCGTCCGCCCCTGCCGCTGTCAACAGGTGTGGGTCCATTGACTCTGACAGTGGATTACATTTAAGAGGGATCTTGAAACAGCGGTCAACGTCTGGTATGCAGATGACCTCGGTTGAATAACTTTTGAATGCTCATTTTTGCACGATTTCATAACTGGAGTGAATCCGAGACTACCAGCAGAATTTTCGACCCACCAAATTTTGGCCAAGCGTTTTCACTCCATTTTCGTTTTAACGAAATTTTTATGATATTCGATTGGGATATCGAGTACACTGACCAGGAGCGCGAGCCTCTAACGCTTCATATGGGATGCCATTATTCAAGAACATCATGGCATTGTTGTCGTGTTGCTGTTACACAATAAGACCTCCTATTAATAATCGGTATCTAATATGAGTTTTGGGGCAATCACTTATGCAGCCGCCAGCCTTTGGGGACTTCTGACAGCTCCGTCAATCCCCTAGTTTTTTCTTGTGTTATTACATTATACCATAATGAAGGCGTTTTCTAAAATCCACGGACAAAAGGCTTCGGTTGGTAACATGGGATTATGAGTAAGTATTGTAACTTCCTTGTTAGCTTATAAAGAAAGCAGCATTGAGTTATGCATGTAATATTGAATTTGATCTTGATCTTGATGGTCAATTTGGACTAACAAAACGAGGAATCACACGCTCAGCAAATGACTTACGTAGCAATTGAATTGCCCTTGGGCTACAATGTATATGCTACACCATCACATTGAGATTGCGTGTAGTCACGTTCATATCGTGCGGGCTATGCGCAGGCGGAACAACGATCTAGTAGTGTCTATATTGCAAAATTTGCACCAAACGATGACGCTTTACTGGGTGCGTTTGAGTTGTTGATTGTTCGAACTGAGATTGTGGTCACTTGGTTCATAAAACCGGCGTTCACTTGCTGCTATTCAACAGAATCTCATTTCTCATTATGGTCGGTAAACTTCATCGCCTGAATCACCTGAACATTGCAAATAAAACAATGCAAATTTTTCGCAAGAAGACGCTGCAGAGAACTTGATAAATCACGTTCTACATAATGATGCTGACTTGATGTTGCTGGTCTCCCAGCGGCATGTAGGGACCGTTTTGATGGTTCACATTGAGGGAAGGCCAGTTTTTAACACCAATCCAGCTCTTTACGATTTATGTAGTTAAATTTCAATTTTAACCATATTATGCGCGAAAATTGCGGATTGTATTTGACAACTAGACTATCAGCTGTCAGACGGACTAGTTGTTGTATATGAATTGCTTTACTGCACAAATGGTGCAATATATCAATCTTGTGTAAATCTTGCAATGATCTTTGGCTGTCAGTGGTAGCAGTAGTAGTGCCTCCTGGTTTTTCGCTAGGTGCTGGCGATGCCTACAACTCCAGGAATGCGTGCTTAATTTGTTTACTAAAAGGTCTTATTGTTTACTGCTCCATGAAAGTCCTGAGTAATCGCGTTCTTTGTTTTCCAGGTTGATCCACATTCTACAGCATCGTGCTCGAAATGTACTTATGGGTGCCCTTAGATCGCTTTGAACCAGACTCAAGCGGTCTATTCTATGACCACCTTAGCTCCATTTTGAGCACACTAGATTGTTAAATTTGGCAACCAATTTCCATAGAACTTGACGGTGTACGTTATAGACAGTGGCGAATTGCTTTACGGCAATAAGTCATCTATTTGTCGATTTGTAGAGTGCAGTTTGGACGGTTGTGGGCAGACGCCTTTTGGCAGCAATTTAAGCGCCTTTCCCCCACAACTCGTGTGCTCTGACGAGTTTCCATCAAACAGCGAGGATGAAGCGGTTTTTCCACCGTCTACGCCACGAAAATACGAAACCGCCCCTGCCACTGCTAACCTTGCCTCGCAGGATACAGGTACTCGTCCCTTAACTCTCGGTAGACGACGAGGAAATTCGGTAAACTTCTCCAAAAAGGACGAGAAGGTTGCTTTCTCGCCCTTTGACCCCGTCCAGACTTTGCATAATTTGCTTCGTCATAAAGCGTGAGTGTTCTACGCCTTTGGAGAGACTTTAAAGCTGCATGTTTGTGGCCTTACTGCTTATTATGGTGTTTTTTTCGTATTCATTGGGAAACCTCAATTTCATATGGTTGCTAATAGTGTTATGTAGCTGTGACAGGTGTTTCCTATTGCTTTGCAACTAATTAGCAGAATTTTGGATGATGAACTAGATTTATTATTTTTGGTCTGGATCACGGTAGCAACCTACTTAAGCAAGTTTTAGATCTGCTGAAAAATCTGAGTATTGAATTGAAGAGGAATAAAATGCCACTGCACTATAACGCTTGCTTAGTGTGGAGGGGTCCTGGGGCCTAAGTAATGCTGCGAAAAGGCGAATATCAGGTCATTTGCTG